CCTTACATTATGTGTTATAAGATATGATATGTGATGCCTTAGCCCAGGGGATTTCTACTGGTATGAGATGCTTCGAGAGTGAGTGGGTAGCAGTAAGGAGTTATGAGAAGTCTATTGAAGGGTAGCCTATGCTTAGCAAGATATAGAGTACTTGTGTATTGGGATCCTAGGAGGAGGACTTGGGATGAGTGCTGATGCGGTGTGGAAGGTAGTATAGGGCATGTACTACTGGAGACACCGGATCAATGCGCAGTCCAACTAAGAATCTTTACGGTACTAAGAAGCAAGTAGGGACAGGTTATCGAGTGCGTGCATACTCGAGCAAGTCTCTGATATTTTTATGTTGTATTTCAGAGACATCATGGTTACGACACGCCACATATGAGAAATCAGCAGCGTGAGTGACGAGGAGATTCATCAGATGATCCACGAGGAGGTGACTGAGGCTATTCGCACAGAGATACTTGAGATGTTTTGGTCTATCAAGACCACTTTGATTGATACGTTTGATGAGAGATACACAACAGTTACTGAGGCTGCGACTTCTGCAGCTACTGCGGCTGTGGCTGCTGCTAGACCTCAGGGGGTGACTCGATGCTGTTTCGAGAGTTCAGCAACACGAAGCCACCATTGTTTGATGGGGCGCATGATCTAATCGCTGAGATAAGATGGATTTCTGATATCGAGGGATGCTTCTACACCCGTTCGTGTCCTGAGAATCTGAGGGTTCGGTTCGCGCTGAACCAGCTCCGCCTGGAAGCGAAAGATTGGTGGAAGTTTGTTACAGCGAACTTCACTCTTGCAGAGATTTCAGAGGTGATCTGGGAGAGGTTCACCATCATGTTCAGAGATGAGTATGTTCCCCCAGTGGAGAAGGTGTTGGATAAGGTGTCTAAGTCCATAACTTATTTGGTATATACTTGACCCGACCCAGCATGGTCCATTTGGGTTGCATCTCATCCAAACTATTTATGGATAATTTTATGAGAGTTATACACATATGATTATTAATATATTATAAGTTATAATATATTAATATGAAGTCATGTTATTTAATTAGTCATAGTCTTAAATTAATTATGAATTAATTTAGAGATTAAAAGGAAGACTAATTAATTGTGGCCTATTATATTTTATATAGTGTGGGCTAATACTCATTTGTTAATGGGCTAAGCTAATATGGAAGTCCATGGATGATCCATGGAGCTTTTAACCCATGGATCCTTGGAAAAGGAAAGGTCATGGGTTATTAGGGTTTCACCCTAACCATGCACACTATATAAGCATGCTTATGGAGCATGAAATGGTGCCTAAGGGTAACTAGTGAACTAGTGTGTGTGAGCTTGTGTGTGGCCGAAATTACAAGTGTGTATTCTCTCTCAAAGTTTTCCAAGAGTTTGTGGTGTTTTGTGATTCCATTTGAGGCATTCACACTATTGGTGCTTGGCCCTCAAACTCCTTAGAACCAAACTCATCAAAAGGTATGTAATCTCTTCTAACTCTTTATGTTGAAATGTTCCCCATGCCATGTTAGATAGGTTATAAACCTTGGAAAAAATTATTATTTTGCATGTATTTAGACAAACATAGATCCAAGGTTTATTAGGGTTGCATGCACACTTAGGAAGTGTTAGATTGCTCAAAACCCAACAGTGGTATCAGAGCCTAGGCTTGCTTGTTTGAATACTTGATGCAAATTGCTGAAAATCGAAGATTTTATGCTGTCTGCACAGCTGACTCGCCGAGTCCATGAAGGGACTCGACGAGTCCAAGGCAAAACTCATCCAACTCGATGAGTTGGTTCATGCACTCGACGAGTTGGACCCCCAAACAGCATATCTTCGAGTTTTGGTGCTGGAATTGGTCTAGAATCATTACCTTAAACTGTTTTGGACTCATAAAACCTGTTTTTGATGTGGTAATGATGATGGTGGACCAATTTCAAAGTTATAATCAAAATTCCATGATTTTATGTGTTCATATAATTCTTGAAATTTTGATGATCATGTTCATGTTCTTATGAATTTAGAAGATGATAGGAATTATTTGCTGAATTGTTTAGGATTAATTCTGATCATTTATGTGTTTTAATGGAGTCCATAATTTGTCCTCAAGTTATGGATATCCAAAGGTCACTTTTATTTAACACACACTTAAAACACATAAGTTACATGAAAATTAAGAGTCTTCATTTTTATGAACCTTTAACTCATAAGTTATGAAATGAAAAGTCTTGGATGGTTACAAAAGATGAAGAGTCTTGTCCTTAAGTTATGGAGTTTCAAGAGTCACTTCATTAATAAATATATAAATAAAGTGTAACCTTAATTAATTCCATAAGTTATAAAATAAGGAAAAGTAATTCTTTTATTAGTTTAAAGTCTTCCATAACTTGTCCTCAAGTTATGGAACTTGAAGAGTTTTTGGATTAAAACTACTTTAAACACATAAATCATGGAATTAATTAGTTTTGAATAGTTTCAAAATTTGCCCTCAAGGTTTGGAATTTGGAAAAGTTTCACACACTTTAATAAACTTTAATTCCAACACTTAGAATTTTAAAAGTTAAAATTCAACCCTTATACTATTTATAACATTAATGGTTAATTATACATATATGTATAAGAACAAGTCGTTTTACCGTTAGTAGGCCTCATTCACGAAGCCGGTCTATAAGGCGGGTATAAGGTTGTTGCCTATAAAATGGCGACTTAATGGGTGTCCATTCTCACCCACCACTTGCTTGATCGGTGGAGGGTCGTTAGCCGAACGGGTAGGACAATGACTTTAAATTCTCATTAAAAGTATAATGAATATTATAAAGTAACTAAATATTTTTTTATTTAATTCCCAATCTTAGTTACTTTAGGAAAAATGTGAATTTGGTGCTAGCCCATGGAATTCACACTTTGTACCTTACCAAGTCGTTGGTGGAGCGTGTGTGGTTAACCGGCACACTAACTTGGACTAGTAAGGATCACGAAGGGTGACTTAATGTTTGTCATAGATCAATGGAGCGTGTGTGGTTAACCGGCACATTGATTAGGTGATAATATTAAGGGTACCAAGTGAATTGGTATGGTTATTCACACCTTGTTTTGTGATCCTCGGCATCCCAGTCACAAAATTTGAGAGGGCACACTCGAGATTGAAACATGCCATTGAAAAGTTCAATGAATCTCAAAAGATCTAGGAATTTCAAATCCAATTAAAACCTAATAAATTATTTCGTTTTTCATGGTGGAAATTGGTGAATCGTCATTCGCCTACCTTCAAATATTTTATAGCTTGGATTACGGCATCCCTCTTCCAAATTATAAAATATTTGTTGGGTCCTAGCCTTAATATTTCATATTGGGTGTTATATTAAGGACTTTGAATCAACTAACTTGATTTTCTCCCATAATAGATGTCTGGTTTAGACAACTATGATTTTCCCAAATCTCTTGAAGATGGTGTTCCCTCAACATCATGCTTCACTTCCTCCACCTCCTCCAATTATTCTCCCTCACCACAAGTTCTTGAAAAGTTTAAAGTCACTCAATCCCTATTGGCAAGCATAGTCTATGTGTGCTCACATCTTGGAGATAAAGTCACATATTGACAAGCCGGGAGAGTTGGGTGTCAAAGTCTCGTGAAAGTTGGATGTTCAATCACTTTCTTAGTAACATAGTCAGTCTCTTCGGGACTACTATAAGACAGACTATGACACGAGCCTTAATGATCTTATCTATTTGCTTTGTGCTGTGGAATCAACAAATGATTTGAAACACCAGTAAAGCAAATTTTATTAGAAGATCAACTTCCCAAACCTTAAATGGACATTGGCAATGGTAGCATTGGATATCTAGAAAAACATTTCTCTTCCCAATGGAAAGGGATCGGCCATAGTCAACTCGGTTGACCAAATGGTAAAGAGAAAGGCTAAGTCTGAGATAGTCTCATGTGCCATTACCAAAGGGTCCATGTGTTTTGTTGCCAAAGGAAGGGGCATTGGTTGCGAAGCTGCCATATTTACCTGAAAGATCATAAGATTGATCAAGTCAAAAAGTTTGACTCTACTTCAGTTAAAGTCCACTGACTAACTCTATTAAGTTCCTATTTGGAGATTCTTATTGCATAATGTGAATGGGTCACATGTTGATGTTTTTATGAATCCAAGAAAAGATAGGAAGCTTAAAGTAAGTATATGTTGATTCTGATTGCGAAGGTGGGTTTTGATCGCATGGTTCGGTAATCGATATTTTGAGCTGTTGCTTAAGAGTTATAATATATTGCTTATGAATAGATAACAACAAGGTTTTCATGTGGATTGTAAGGATAAGTTTTTCCGCAAAGTTTTTAAAATAAAAGAAAAAAGGGTTTTAATTTTATTTATTTTAAAAATATCCTTACAATGGCATCTGTGGAAAATTGTTGCTTATATGTTTCCAGTAATAGCAATATTGGAAAGTGGATTTGATTCTTTCATTTGTGGTAATGTCTGAATTTACCAAATGAAGAAAATTTTTCATCACCCAAGTTTCAATTGGACAGAAACTTGGAATCATACAAGTTGTATTGTATGATGAATGAAAATTTTCATCTTTGAAAATTAAGACTAATTCTTTGATGACATCACTACTAGAAAAAAGGCCTTTTATGACGCTCATTGCGCGTTGTAAAACGCTCAGACGACGCGCAAATGCGTGTCAAGGAAGGCCCTGTCATAAAGAGAGACGACACGCATTTATGACGCGCATTTACGACGCGTATTTACGACGCGCGGTTATGACACGCAATGCGTATCAAGGAAGGCCCTGTCATAAAGGAAGACGACACGCATTTGCGTGTCGTAACCTTACGACGCGTGTGTTTATGACACGCAATGCGTATCAAGGAAGCCCCTGTCAAGAAAGGCCATGTCATAAATGAAGATGACACACATTTTTGCGTATCATAATTTTAAATGTTCTAAAAAAAATATTTATATATTTATTAATTTTTAAATTAAATTTGCATTTAATGTCTCATAATAGAAATAAAATATCATATACAAAAAATACAATCCATTGCATAAAATTTAATGTCATACAATTCTATTTTTTACAATATCTAAATTTGCATGTAATCTACTCTCTACATCAAATTCCAACTAACTAAAGTTGCATCTTGGCTTTCATAATTCTTTAAGACTAATGCTCCAAACAGATGTTATATGGATAAGAAGTTGTACATTGGCCCATCTACTCTGTGTTTCATACTAACAATTGAAATGAAGAATGCAACACTTGCATTTGCAGCATCTTATCTCTTTTGGCTTGAGCTTTCTTTTCCTCTTCTAACTCCAAAGCTATTCGCTTTCATCAACCCTATAAACACAACACAAAATCACTTGTCATTTTCATTCTACTTTTAAAATTAATTCTTATCAGGACATTCTGCTTTTAAACCTACCAATCTACAAATTTTTCAAAGAATATAATTTATAATTTTTATGGAAAGTACATTGCTATTTCTTGAATACAAGATGTTACAAATCAAGAAACTTACATGGACTGCCGACCACCATGAACCTGCAAGACACGAGACATCAAATAAATCAAAATTAAATTTTGATTTTTTTTGCTTTCAGTAACGATTAACATTTAACAAAAAAACAAAAGGTCAACCCACTCCCTTTGCCTCATTCCAGCTGACCCACTCCTTGGAAACAAGAAAAAAAAACTATCAACCAACAATTTACTTATATTTGAGAGGTTTTCATATTGATTTATTTATTTGTTAATAAATAGTTTACATACTACACCTATGGTATGGATTAAGTATTCAGGGGAGGATTTACTATCAAGGAAAATGTCGAGGGTAAATTGTTCACATTGGTTTAAGTGATCTGCAATCTCTTTGAATTTGAAAGTATGACTTCGTCTTGAAGCTGCATAAAATAAATATCAATGAATACAAGCGCATAAGTCATAATCACATCTATTATTGTGTGCACATTAAACTAACACTAATTGCTAAAAGAATAAAGGTTTTGACATGTGCTACCGACTTATGCACAAGTATTAATCAACTATGAAAAATGGTTTTATTATTGGACCTATTTAACATATGCATGGACTTATTAAGTTTATTCATGAAAAAGAATAGAATAGAAAAGCACCTTTAGCAAATCTACCCAGTTTTAGCAAATGTATTACAAATACAAGAGTTGTTGTACCTCAACTGCTCTTGCTTCAAAAAAGTGATCAGGTCTGGGCGCATGACCACCATTATGCTGAAGGATTCTAATTTTGCCTTCTTAACCAAAAATAAATAATAAAAATAAAAATATAGACTAAAGTTTTTTTTATTAGATAAAGTACAGACCTTGGTTCCATAAACAAGACCACCTCCAGCAAGAGGATGAAAGCAAGCTACATTGACCTCATCTTCTGCACTCGGAAGCGCACTGACAAGTTCCATATCTGAAACTCTATATACCTGAAACCCAAAACCATATGTTCAAATAATAAACAACCATCAATCGACAAATGTGGATAGAAAATTAGAAAAAAAAATAGTAACCTCTAAAACTGTGTAAATGGATAATGAGGTCTCCCCATTAATAACAATGCTTTTAAGAGGGGAACTGTGATGTCGACCATAAGCAAGCAATATGTGTTCAGAGGTTGGCGAAAACCGCAAACATTTTTAAATTAATTAAATTACATTCAAACAGAACGTAAATATCTTCATACTAGATATAATAAATAAACCTACTTACCTGAATAGATGTTAAACAATGAGCAGCTCTAATCGGCCTCGACTTAAGTATAGTACCAAAACTACACCAAACCAATATCAATACATTATTAATTTTCAATTAAAGAAATATATATATTAAAATATAAAATGATAAATAGAAAAAGAAATTGAAAATTTACGTTGCATCCTCGAGCAAATATATCCAAAACAATTATAGGTAGAATAACATAGTAGGTTGTTCGACTTCAGCAGCAGTAATAAAGACTTAACACCAAAATAAGAAACTGGGACAGGAAAGTAAAGTTCACAGGGCACAAAATATGGTAATGACAGGGAAGGGCAAAACTGGAATATATGCAGTTTTGGTAATCTGAATAGGGAACAGAGTATACCAAAGTTTTAGAGGCTTTTCTATAGAAATAGAAGATGATCTTACTCTGTCCACATCCACATTATTCTCTGCCTCCAGCTATGTTGTTGAAGTTGGAACCTTAAAAGAAATGTTCTTAGCTACATTAAGTTGTGAAGCTTTCTAAGCAAAAATGGAAAGGCATGAGATCTGATTGGTTAATTCATCAACCGAAATGTCTTCTGTAAGCAAAAAGTAAAACATGAACTTCAACTTAAAAAAAAACTAATATAGAAAAAGGCATAAATTAAAGGAGAATATGTTATATATCAATGGAAACATACCAGATTGGATAAGTTTCTCAATGGCAATGATATCATATGTTTTATCATTACATGACTCCTTAATTAGATCAAGCAAAGAAAGAACTGTTTGTTTCCAATACCGAATGTTGAACTCCATTGGTCATGCACTCATGCTATGAATACAAATAAAAAGTCTTAAGGAATTCAGAAAGATAGCTTAATCATACCTGGGAGATCTTGTAGTCAATGTCTCCCCTAGAGATGAAAACTTTAAATTACTACTACCCTCACTTCTTCTATTATTAAATCAATGCAGAACCTACTGCACCCATTAATGCTTTGATCATTTTGTTTCTTCAGAAAAAAAAAAAAAAAAAAACACATCAAATCATTCACTGATTCCATTAGATATCATAAACCGAATCGAACCTAGGCAACTCTTATCAAACACAACTAAGTTTTTCAGTTTTCGCATTTCTAAAACTCTAAAAAATCACTTCAAAAAATATAATAATAATAATAATAATAATAATAATAATAATAATAATAATAATAAATGATCGTGAAAAAAATATAAAAATGGCTACATAAACCAGAAGAAAAGGAGACAAGTCAGTCATAGACCATCCAAATGAAGATCTCTCTCAATACTTCTAGCTTCTGGGTCATCAGAATCCATCGTTTGTTGGAGTATACCAGCATATAACTTAATATATCACCTACGAAGATGACAGAAGTGCTAAATTTGGCTCCAAGATAACCTATAGTGAAACTAAGTAGTGGCGATCTCGAGCCCATGCAGAAACTGCATGACCCTTAGCAGGTTCATTTATTCCATCTTCAAATATCTATCATTTGTGAAAATTGAAGCTTAGAAATCTTGCACATCAAAGGGTACTTACTACTTCCATTACAACTATTTAAATATGCAAGGAACAAGGATCATACCTCAACCCAATCCTTAGGACTGAGATCTTCCCATTTCTCATCCACCATCCAAGGAGGTTGGCTGGAATCGTGATACATAGCAAGCCTTTCAAGTTGCAATGACTGAAAAAAAAAAAAAACATGTGAGATATCAAAAAGACATAAACTTAATATTTTTTGGTAAATGATAAAAAAGTAGAAGACATATATCATGACTAGGACATAAAGAACTGAACTTTGTTAAGAATTCATTTCCTGTTTCTAAGACCTAAAGAGGTGTCAATGACTAAATATTTAAATGGAAAAGCAGGATACAAAAGATGGAAAATGGGACTGAGCTTTCGTAATTTATCTAGTGCACCACTGGTGTCAAATGTTTCATTCCCCTTTTCATCCACTATAAAAGCAGCAAGCTTTGCCAGAGTAAGACCAATAGCAAAAGGATGTCCTGGATTGCTGAACAAAAAACATTGTTCAAATCAGGCAAATGAAGAAATATGGACTGAGAAGCTGATTTTTAGGCAACCTCATCCTCCATCCTTAGAGATTATTAAGAAAATGTGCAGAAATTATTAACAAACCTTTCCAGAAACCGATGCTTAAGGCCCCTGATGAAAATCCATGGACATATTCAGCCAAATATCGTCGAAGCATTAAAAGGATTATAGTTATTTGCAATATAAAGGAATAAAATAATGTTCAAGACAATAACAAGCCATCAATAAATTATAATTATACTAAGAAAACTGAATAAATTGTACCATTAAAAAGATTATAGTTATTTGTAATATAAAGGAATAAAATACTGTGACATGGCAAGGAGATATTGTTGCTGAAGCCCTCCACTCTAGGTTCTCTCCACCACAACCAAAACCAGATGATTTGAACGATTGGTGTAAACAATCAAATGTCACTCCCAATACTTCAGAAGCATCATTTTGCTAAGTTGCATTTCTGAGAAAGTGAGATGAAGTAGGAAAGAAAAAGATTTTAATCCTTTTTTAATGTAAAAAACAAAATCTTTTTATAAATGTAACTAACCTCGACAGACAGCTGTTCCTTTTGTTTTTGGATTGCAACTTCTATGCAAGAATCGAACTGATGGAGAAATTCGTTCACCCTCCAACTGTCTAATTGTGGAGGGTGGCGACATAGAAACACGCTGACAGCCTAGGCTGCCGACCATGGCGGTAGATGGTGCTTGGCGGGGAAAACAGAAAAGAATGAGAAGAAAATAATAGGAATCGATAGCTTAGGTTGGAGAAAATTTTGTCTCGAAGTCCTCTTCCCTCGACGGTGACTCATAAATCCGGCAGACCCACACAAAAACCTTGAACAATTCCCTCTCTAGCCGCCAAGACGAACGAATAGAAGATTAGGGTTGTTTTGCGATGCTAGTGGTTTGGTTAGAGGGGATGTATGAACTAAATATAAGCAATCGTCCCTAATAGAAGATCTCAAAGGGACCCTGGTTTCAACAGAAGGCTTTCATCCAAAGGATACCTGATGTCAAAACGTGGCCGCCAATTAGGTTTTTTTCATGTGGAGGATGTAGTTGGAGGTTTTCATCCAGAGAAATCCCGAGTTGTGTTGGATGAAGGACTAGGGTTGGAGGCGTTGGAGGTGGGTGAAGATGAAGTCGATCCCTAAGGCTTTTTTCTTGCTAATTCAAAGATTAGGGTTGATGGCTGAGAAAGGATCAAACAGGCGGGGGTTTTGATTTTTATGGATTCCATTTCCCCCCTGGTTTTGATTTTTATGGATTCCATTTCCCCCCTTAGCTATTAAAACGCGCGTTTCATTAAAATTATAAAGCGACAACCACAGACGACGCACGTTTAAGATAAAGCACCCTCCGTGTTTTTAATTTTTCTTCTTCAGACACTAATTCAAGGGCACGCAATAATGCGTGACCTAAATCCTTAAATTTTTTGAAGAGATGGCACTTTTTTAACGTCACTCTTTTGCGTAACATAAATCTCCGAGTGTCGTTGTTTGCGCGTCGTAAAAGGGTCTTTTTCTTGTAGTGCATGTATATGTGAGTCAATTGAAGGACTAAGGAATTAGGTACACTGGGTGTGCACTGGTCAAAGGTCCACCACAAAGATTTTTATCATGATATGATTATACTTATGAGGTTAAGTATAATTCTGTAACACTGGAAAGGTTACAATGTATGACAAAACAAATGAGAAGAATCAAATTAGGCAGAAAGATAAAAGTTTCTCAAATCTGAAAGGATGGGAGAGTACTTTAGTATCGTATTTCATGATCATCTTAATGATTATGAAACCATATCACAAATTCATACTCTAAGGACGTCTTAGTGCATTGTTATGGCTAAGAAGAGAGGTCATGAATTGTTGGATTGGTTAAAATCAAGAAGATGAGTCATACTTCATCGAAAACAATTCTTAGAGTCATACTCCAAGATTGTAACCTTGAGTGACATAAAGGAAGATTTATTAACACTAGTCAAATGTAAGAGTAAAATGTTTTCTACTCTTGTACATTTGAGATTGATAAGTTGTGATGTCTTGGATGAGACAAAAACCAACTAAGACCAATTGTGTGAAGTGTTAGTCCTGATAAGAATCCGCACTATCCCTTGAATATTTGTTTTGTCAAGGAATGGTTCTTGACTGGGGAAACTTATATGTCAAGGGGACAGTGGGAGCCTTAAAGATCCTGAAAGAGTTTCAAGATTTAATCAAGAGTAAAACCTGTAATTTGTCACTAGCACACGACTTAAGGTTTGCAACCTATCGTGTTGACATAATTCTTATTTCTGTACCTACTTCAAATAAGTTGAATTTGCATGTGAGTTATCAGAGTTCAACTTGGAAGCATTGGTGGGCCTTGTGCTACCAAGGTGACAAGAAACTAAGATTGAACAAGTTTAATCCATGTAAGGCTGAATTTGTCACTGACCTTATCTTGTGATTATGGTTTTGACAAATTCACATGGATAGGAACTCATACACTATAAAATCTAAGTGTCATAAGATTTCTCTCCGATTCATGAAAATGATGGTGAGGAAACGCTTTCACTAAGTAGATTTTACGTAGATATCAATTGTGTTATTTGCATTTTCAAAAGTCGTTAGTGGAGCGCGTGTGGTTAACCGGAACACTAACATGGACTTATGAGAAATGGCAAATGCCTAAGCAATTGAGACTATGATTACGGAAATCCCTTTTCATGGTTCTGAAAATTGTTTAGACACACATGCGAGCTATCTAAGAAAGGGTGTATGAATCTAAATTTCAGAAGTCCAACAGATTTATGGAAATATGTCAGAGCTAGTGGGAGCATAAGTGTTATGCTAATAATCATCATGTTAGTGGGAGCATGATTATTACGTTTAGTGTTGCAAGTTAGCAATGTTAATTATAGAAAACAAAAGTTTCAATTCGTGAAGTTTCAGGGGTTGAAAAGTTGTTTTGCTATAATTAAGGGAGAGGAAATTATACTTTATTTCAATTCTAGAAGCTTAGATTGAGATTTTAATCATCTTTAGTTAAGGACATATATATGAATTTTATGTCTGAATGGTTCGACTTAAGGAAATTCTATATATATTGCGTTCTCAAAATTCAATTATGACTACGGCATCCCTCTTCATAGTTAAATTTTGAAAACATGGCAAATAAAAAATATTGTAGCAAAAGACTGGTCTAGCCCCCTTGTCTTTATGTGAGACATCATGACCGTGTCCCATATGCTTCGGATATAGGATCAATTGCATGTGTTATAATATTCATCCTTTCTAAATTTTCAAATGCTCAAGGCATTTAGAAGGAAAAAGTCTAGAAGTAGATATGACTAAAGTGATTAAGCAATTGTCGAGTACAATCTGAGGTTCACCAAAGATTGGTTGCTCAGGGAAAAATTGGAAGTATGATGTAAGTTGTCGGAAAGGACCATATTGACATTTTATGAAAAGAGGTAACTCTTGTTTAGAAGTGATAGTCAAAATGGGACGATGGAAATGTCTCCATAGGTGGAAGTTATTCAATCTATATAACATTAGAAAAACTTAATGCAAGAAGGATGTTCAAAACAATGTACTTTGAATATGAGACTTCGTTTCCATAGAGTTGATCTCCTTTGGAATCCTCTGTAATGACTGATGACAAGGTTTTGGTGACCTTGCGCATAATCATTATGAGAGGATCAATGCATATAAGTTTAAAATCTAACAGATTTTTGGTAAATGGTAGAAATTAGAAATTCTTACATTTACAATAAGGATTTGGGATTGTGAAATGAGCAACATTGGAATGATGTTTAATTGATCTACATCACAATGTAAAGATCATAGACAAACATAGTGTGCATGTTAGGAGTATGGCATAACTATTGTTTAGAAAAACAAAGTGTACATGCTAGGAGCCTGGGACAACTGTTGTTTTATTCAAGTCTTAAGTTGATTGTTTGAAACATTATACAATGAATAATGTGTAATCAATATGGTGATAAATAAAAGGTGGTTTTATTTATATTCAAAAGGGTTCTGAGACCATATTGGATTCGATTATTATTGTGTTTCACTTTGCATGTTTTGACTTCCAAAATAGCTAGGTTATTCTTTTCGAATGACTAAGTTATTTAAACACTCCACAGTCGTTCATATGTTGGAAGTAGGTATGAATCAAGACTGTCATGAATCGGGTTTGTAGATGGCTAAATGGGTTTAGTCATAGCAATGGTTGCTACAACATTCATGAGTGCTCATAAGTTATGAGTATTGGAATAAACCCACGCTCACTTGTATCACTTCATGGAATTTATCTCGAGTGATCGTGAGACGGTAATATCATATAAATCTTCAAACCTAGAGATATGAGTTGTTACCTATGAGTTGGTTGTGCATTGATTGCACGTAAACGCATCAGTAACTTGATGTTATAAAACGTGCCTTTGTGTACAATTCAACAAGTAGTAGAACAAGCATATGAGTCGAAGTTTATCTGTTCCTTCTAGAAATAGAAGCGATATCTGGGCCCCTCGATGATTTTGTTGTGACCTATGTACCGGCCGGTCAGAACTAAATTGATGTGTTCGATTAAGTTCTTTGTCAAACAAATCGAAAATCGGGAAACAAACTGCTGGACAATAAGTACGACGTTGTTCCATGTATTTGTCCGGCTGATATCATGAGAACAGAGGATTATATGATCACTTATCTAAAATGGCGCTTCATAGTTCAACAGAGTCTTCATAGTTCAACGGAGTTTTCGAGAGCTACGATTGCTGGTTGGTTCCTGAAGTAACATACGCAAATATAGTTATTAGACTTATCCAAGTGGGAGTCTGTTGGATAAGGTGTCTAAGTCCATAACTTATTTGGTATATACTTGACCCGACCCGGCATGGTCCATTTGGGTTGCATCTCATCCAAACTATTTATGGATAATTTTATGAGAGTTATACACATATGATTATTAATATATTATAAGTTATAATATATTAATATGAAGTCATGTTATTTAATTAGTTTAGTCTTAAATTAATTATGAATTAATTTAGAGATTAAAAGGAAGACTAATTATTGTGGGCTATTATATTTTATATAGTGTGGGCTAATACTCATTTGTTAATGGGCTAAGCTAATATGGAAGTCCATGGATGATCCATGGAGCTTTTAACCCATGGATCCTTGGAAAAGGAAAGGTCATGGGTTATTAGGGTTTCACCCTAACCGTGCACACTATATAAGCATGCTTATGGAGCATGAAATGGTGCCTAAGGGTAACTAGTGAACTAGTGTGTGTGAGCTTGTGTGTGGCCGAAAATACAAGTGTGTATTCTCTCTCAAAGTTTTCCAAGAGTTTGTGGTGTTTTGTGATTTCATTTGAAGCATTCACACTATTGGTGCTTGGCCCTCAAACTCCTTAGAACCAAACTCATCAAAAGGTATGTAATCTCTTCTAACTCTTTATGTTGAAATGTTCCCCATGCCATGTTAGATAGGTTATAAACCTTGGAAAAAATTATTATTTTGCATGTATTTAGACAAACATAGATCCAAGGTTTATTAGGGTTGCATGCACACTTAGGAAGTGTTAGATTGCTCAAAACCCAACAGAAGGAACGGTTACTCTAGGAGTTTTTGTCCCTTAAGCATGGGACGGAGTCAGTGACTGTGATTACATGGATGTTCCATGAGAGGGCGTTGTATT